CTCCTCCTCCTCCTTCTTCTTAAATCTGACAAGTTTCTTGTTTTCACAGGTTGTAACGATTCCACAAGGTCTATATGGATCGCTTATCGACTTACAAACCTTCAATCCAATGGGTATATATAACACTATCAGTTTATTTATTTATTTTTATTTAAGTCAATAGAGTCCAGAGGTTGTTTCAGGGTCCAATCTGTGAGTTAGCCGTGTCCTGACTTAGATCAGCCCAGAGGTTGTTTCAGGGTTCAATCTGTCAGTTAGTCGTGTCCTGACTTAGATCAGCCCAGAGGTTGTTTCAGGGTTTAATCTGTGAGTTAGCCGTGCCCTGACTTAGATCAACCCAGAGGTTGTTTCAGGGTTCAATCTGTGAGTTAGCCGTGCCCTGACTTAGATCAGCCCAGAGGTTGTTTCAGGGTTCAATCTGTGAGTTAGCCGTGTCCTGACTTAGATCAGCCCATGCAGAGGTTGTTGCAGGGTTCAATCTGTGAGTTAGCCGTGTCCTGACTTAGATCAGCCCAGAGGTTGTTTCAGGGTTTGATCTGTGAGCTAGTCATGCCCTGACTTAGATCAGCCCAGAGGTTGTTTCAGTTTCGATAAAATTTGAATTTTTTGAGGAAGTATCTAACTCTCTTTCATTTGGTTATAAATTACCCACTAACCTCAACAAATCATCCCCACTCTCCCCTCCCCCGGCATCTGTGAGATATCGACGCCCTGACTTTGAAAAATCGATGGCTTACTGTAGTTGTCTTATAGGTAATCCCATCATTGTTCCCGTTCCTCCAAAGAAATATGGGAAAGGTAAGTATTTTTTGGTTGAGATAAAAAAAACCCGCAAAATTCAGTCCTGAGAGTCATTTTATTTATTCTAAAGCGAAGGAGAGAGCGAAATGAGCGAGTATGGTGCACTCTGGTCTAAATTGGGTACAAATATCTTTCGTTTTATCATGCCTTATCTGGGTGTTATCTGTATTATATAGCTTAGATAAGAAGCACGCTCTTATTGGTCGATAACTTTCCTGTATTGGTAATGTCATACACGGGACAATTTTTAGCGCAACTTGATTGCAACGATGTTTTGAGTTTCATGTGAAGTTCGTGTTCAAAAAGCTGCAACATGTTGCCCCAAAACAATGTTGTTAAAAATCGTAAACTTGCACCATATTACACGAGAAGAAGTTTTCGCTCAAAAAAAGGATCGCTCCTTTCGTGCGTTTTTTCATTTCTTGATTTGGTATTGCCGTTTATGAAATAACTGTTATTAATCTCGCGCTCTGATTGGCGGGACGCGCGTGCATTGTGAAAGTAGAAAGTGCAATTTCTATTTCGTCATTCGTATCCCAAATATATGCTACAATTATTTGTATTTTATTTTTTWAAAACTTGCTTGCTGTACTTTGTGAAGTTGTAAAGCACTTGGGAATTGGCAGAACTCTTGTGAAGTGTTGAGAAGTACCCCGCTACACGTAGTGGCAATTTCGGCGTGCTTTATAACTGCAAATACCACGCGCACGTTTTTCTATTTCTTCAATGAAGCCCAGAAAGTTGCATTGTTTCTTAAATTCAAACCACCGGTAACCCGGTAATAAAGATGATGTTGGTTGTTTGAAACAGATGTTACTCTACAAACAGGATCAATAGCTGGAGGTGTCATAGCAGGAGTTGCCTTCATTACTGTCCTGTTCGTCCTACTGTATCGTAGGAAATGTGTACATTCAGAAACCCCTGATAACGAAAGTAAGTATCACATCCTTCCAGTCATTGATCTTAAAATATATACGTCAATCATCTATTTTTTTCTTCCTTCCATCCATTCATCCATCCATCCATCCATCCATCCATCCATTCATCCATCCATCCATCCATCCATCCATCCATCCATCCATCCATCCATCCATCCATCCATCCATCCATCCATCCATCCATCCATCCATCCATCCATCCATCCATCCATCCATCCATTCATCCATCCATCCATCCATCCATTCATCCATCCGTCGGTCCGTCCATCAATCCATCCATCCATCTACCTCTCCATCCATTCCTTCCTTCCTTCCACCATCCTTCCATCCACACCACAGTCCGTTGAACCACCCCATCTATCCATGCATCTCTCTCATGTTGTTACTATTTTTGATCTTATCTTAATAGTTGGCATYACAATTCCATTTGCAAATAACGCTGATGGTAAGTTAAAGATTTGGGCGAAAAATTTGTATTAGAAGGAATTTCACTTCTCTCAAAGAAATAGCTGTTCAAAATATGCTATAATTAACCATTATTTTTGTTTCTTTGTTTGTAGGACTTCCAAAGATCTTAAATGGTAAGTGCACGAGAAATGTTGTATTGTTTTTCATTTGTTTGCTTTTTGTTCATTTTGTTAACGGGAATAAACGATGATGTTGCGGGAGTGCCCTCACCTCTTTCCTCTGGGGTCTCGGGTCTATTTCTGTGAGTAAGCCATGCTCTGACTTTGATCAACCCAGAGGTTATTTCAGGGTTTGATCCGTGAGTTAGCCATGCCCTGACTTAGATCCGCTCAGAGCTATTAGGGTATAGATTAAATTTATCATAATTAACACATTTCCATTCACAGATTCCAAACCAAAAAACGTCGACATCTACTTTGGATCGTATCTTCCTGAAAGCGAGAAATACGCCAATGAGGTTGCGACCATCGCAAGCATGCTGCGCGCGCATGGTTACCGCGTCATATTCGACCAAGTAGACTCCGTTGAGCTTAACAGTATGGGATTCAACTTATGGGTTGAGAAGCAAATCCTCGAGGCTAAAAAATATATCGTATTTTGCTCCCCTGGCTACTTAAAGCTCTGGCAAACATTAGCAACCAATGTTCAAGACGACAAGCTAAATCACATTAATAAGGAAGATCTAGTGCGCGTGCGTTACGAGATCAAACGTATCACCGATATCTACTCGGAATCGTGTTCAACGTCGAAAATAATCTGCATCAAAATGGATCAAAAATTGAACATGAAGTCTTTACCACCATGGATGAACCACAATATGTTATTATGGCCTGAACAAAAGTATGACATCATACGAAGACTGAATGACCAAGCAGCTATGATTATGGATCTGTAAGCATGACTTATCATCGTTAGACACTTAACTTGCAACGCAGTCTTCTTC